GGTTGGAGGCCGGAGGGTTGGAGGGTTGGAGGGCTGGAGGGTTGGAGGGTTGGAGGGCTGGAGGGTTGGAGGGTTGGAGGGTTGGAGGGTTGGAAGGTTGGAAGGTTGGAGGGTTGGAGGGTTGTAGGGTTGGAGGGTTGGAAGGTTGGAGGGTTGGAGGGTTGGAGGGCTGGAGGGTTGGAGGGTTGGAAGGTTGGAGGGTTGGAAGGGTTGAAGTGCTGGATGGTTGGAGTGGCGGGAAGGTTGGAGGGTTGGAAGGTTGGAGTGCAGGAAGATTGGAAGGCCCACTGTCTCAGAGCCTGACACCAACTTTTAAACATCCGGATTTAAATAGATGTTTTATACTACCTCTGCGGGCACCAGCCTTTGGCCACCCTCCACATATTTAAAAGTAGGCACCGTATGTGCAGTGAGCCCGGCACTAGTATGGCAGTAGCATGCTATGCAAACGCTTGCTTGTGCTGGGCTTCGCTGCAGCGCAGTAGGTCGCGAATGCAAGCTGCAAAGGGATGGATGCGTGTTCGCCTGAAGTTCTGATTCTCAGTGCAGCCTACTCTATAGTTTGATGAAGCACTGTGCCCCTTATGATGCTTATGGCCAGACTGCAGAACGTCTTGCCTCTGGCCAGCAATCTGCTGCGTCTGTTCCGGGCATTGCCCTGTCCAGCTGCGCGCCATCGCCATATTTGCATTGACCATCTGAGAAAGAGCAGCATCCTCGGACTGGGTCAGCAATTTGGCTGGTCTGGCAAAGTGCCTCACAGTCCTCCTGCACAGGAACATCAACCTCGACAACTTCTCTACACTTCTAACTTGGTGAGTGCAATATGCATAGTCCTTTGAGCTGGCTGTGCTGGAAACTGCGATGTGGATGCGGGAGTCAAATCCGCAAGTGAAGTTTGTCTTCCAGCTACAGCGAAGGGGCGTCGCCTGGAATACACTGGGGCTGACTGTTGACGGCATACGTACTTTGTGCCAGAGACGACCAGCATTGTTGAAGGCTATAAGATGTTGCATGCTCTTCAGGTCACGTCATGACCCATCTGGACCCTCGGGGAACAGAGCAGACAGTGGACCCTCCCCCCAAACCCGCGGCAAGAGTCCAAACTCTTCCTCGTGGTTGCAATCTGAAGGCTCTTTGGTCAGATGCAGCTTTACACCATGAGCCTAGCTTTTGCCAAAAAGATCTAACATTCATGGATTATTGTCATGACTGGGGCTTTAATTGCTCTCCTAAGAATTTCTGACATCTTTTCGAAGTGCGATAGGGAAAAGGCGTAGAATTTTGCCGTTTGGCCTTGGAAAGTCCAGGCTGGCTGATGACGGGTCATTCTATTGGACTGTGTTTGACATGGCGTTCATCGCAGGCTGCGAAAACTCTTTGACAGCCATCCATCCGGGCCTTTTCATTCACTAGAAGAAGGGGCTGGAATTCAAGATAATATCCGAGGCAAAAGCATTCGGTATCAGCCTTCCTTTGAGAACTTTCATCTTTACGAAGAGTAAGGGCCATGCCTGGTAGTTGTAGATGTCCTCATCGCGACCTGATGCATACCAGTCCAGCTCCTCTGTATCATGCATGCTGAACTCTGAGCCGGTCTCGCGCTTGTGGAGTTTGTATACAAGCCATCCGCCCTCTGAAGCATCAATCTTGTCCGCCCAGGTCTGCCCCCAATCCCGGAATGCAGGATTTTTGTCTTGACTGAAGGTCCGCATGATCTCAAAAGCTGCGCAGTCAGCGTCTGTCTTGCATGCTTCCTTTGCCGCCTGCAGGATCTCGGAATAAGAGCCTGCAGGGAAGGATCATCAAGAACTATAGCAGAAGAGCGGAATTTTCTCGGGCCTTCGTTGGCAAAGCGCGGTATCTCAGCATATGCAGTGGTCCCAATGCCTGTAGCATATGCAAACTTCTTGAAGCCCTCCGGTGATACCTGAAGAGTCATGAAGCTGCAATCTGTCTCACCCCAGCTTCAGCTACTTGGCATCCTGCTGCAAAGCAGTTCTGAAACGCGACGCAGATTATGATAACAATACCAAACGCAATAATGCTAAGTTGGAAGCCTGGCATTCCTGACGAAGGAGGAGACGGTGATAGCTTTGCCCAGCACAGGCATCCTTCACCTTGTATTTGCCAGCATCTGTTTCCCAGAACTGCCCACTGTTCAGCAGCTCCCCAGCTTCGCCGTGCTTCGTTCCGTAGCACCCGGTTGCAAGGCACACGCGATAAACATTCCACTTGTGCGTCGCAATGACATGAGCAACAATGCTCACCTCATCCGGCGCAATACTGTAATTCTCCGGCATCTGCTGATACGTAGTCTCCTCGCAGCTGGTTGGCGTGTCGCCTTCCACGTTTGCCCCGTACAGCGTGCGGTAGATATGGCCCTTCCATGCCACTTGGTCCACATCATCAACGCATGGAGGTAACGCCTGCCAGCTTTGTAGTTTGCTTCAATGCTCACAGACGTTTGCGCGAGCACAAGGATCCCAATCTGCACTACAATAGCCGTCATGCATGCTTGGGCGGTAGAGGAAGACACATTGACTTAACTTTTGCTTGCATTCTCTACTGAGCTTTGGGCGAGAAAGCTTATTACACATCTGCAGTCGTGGGGCCTTGCTGAACTCCTGGAGGCTGGCTCTTCTTAGAAGGTGGCTGGCTTCGGCCAGGTGGACGGCGCCTGACACGTCAGCATTGGCTGATCCATGCGGAGTGTAAACCAGCAATGAAATGACACTAGATATCTTCAAGAATCAAGATGCAAGAATGCGCTGGCTGAACATGAAGGTCTGGCTAATCCGAGGGTCAGTTTAATAAAAGGGACCATATTCGAAGAATTTTTGTGGGGAAAATTAGCTGTCAAAGACTAGTTTCAATTAGGTGGCATTTCGTATGGGAAAAGGGACTAGATTTAAAGAATTTTTTGGGGTGACCATCCTGAAAATCGAGATATTCAATGCATTCCTATTCATCTTTTAATTGGTAGAGGTCCAAGAGCCCCGATGACGCGGGAATGCATTCCTATTCTTTTTAAATTGAATTCCAGGAACCCCAATCATTCTTTTAATCTGGCGCACTCCATTTCTTATTCTGGCGGGGGGGGGGGGGCCAGATTAAACAGACCCTCGGATTAGGACCGCAGCAGGAAGCTTTTAGAATGGCTTTTAGAATGTTGTCTGGAGTGACGTTTAAATAATTACTGGCAACCATCACAGCAATCAATGTGGATGCAGAGTGATACTGCGGCCATCTTTCGACTGCCAAGGATGCCGCAGAAGTGCCCAAGAAGTGTTTGGGACCCACAGCGTTTGAGACCAGGCTTGGGAGGTCGCATTTGGCCGAATCGGGAGATTTGGAAACCCAATTGCGAATTTGGCACCCTGCACGTTTTGAAAAGCTTTGGGAGGTATCCAGCAGATTGTAAGCAAGCATGCATGACAGCGAAAACCCGCCCTGCAGCATTTGGTTGGCTTGTGTGCTAGTGGCGCTCTACCACAGTTGCTCAAGTCGTTCTCCTTCCTGCTCTGTTTGTGTCTTCCGCTGCCCAAGCTAATTACGACTTTAGCAAATCTGCTTCTTCTGCAAAGTTCGCTTCGCAGGCTCAACATGCCTTTGATCCGCGGAGGTCTTCTCGAGACGGGCGCCAGCACATCTGGCAAAAAAAGGTAGCGACAAAGCAAGGTGGGCCGTGAAAGACAGGTAGTCAAGTCCTGTGAAAAAACAGGTATAGGCAAGTCGAACAGAGGAAGCTGCATCCACTATTCTCTTTAGGTCCTTTGCCTGAAGCTGTTCCGCTTTGGTTGCCTGCAGATTCTACTATTAAGTAGTATCCATCTTGGAGCAAGTTGTATCACCTTGCATCGCACACACGTTTTTTTTCAGGATTCTGTGTTGAGTGCGATGAGAGGTGGGAAGCCATCATTTCAGCCAAACATGGAGTGAGATTTGCTTGTATGCCGCTTTGAAAACCGAGCCAGGGCCTGGCAAATATTCCACTGAACTGCTTGAACTCAGCTGTGTGAACGTGTATGTGTCGTCTAGACTGAAGCGATGACGATTTTAAGGTTTAAGGCACAATGAAATTGCCATGGTGTCATTTGAAACCGTTCCCATCAGCCACGAAACGTGGCCTGATAGCACTGTCGAGGAGCACTCCCCAACTATTCCAGCTGAACCTCTCAGGCACGCGCGCCTACTGCGAGCATGAACAGTGTCAACGAAGTCATCGTCAGTCAACAAACCTTGGAGCTGTGTGCATGTGAAGACCATGCTTCTCCAGCACGGTAACCGTTTCTTCATTCTAAGGCCAGCTATCAACTTGAAGTCCAGGTTTGGCTTGCCACACTCTCGGGTTGTCTACATGATGTGTCCAAGAACCGACAGAATGCGGATCTAGCCTTGGAGAACGTTGATGACAACTGCGCGACATCATATGCTGCATGGGGACTGGGATGTGAGATCTGTTCAAAACTTCAGTTTCAAAGCGTCGGCTTCCATGCTCGTTCTTGACAGCTGAGTCCTTCTGCCAACTTCTGCCCAGTGGCTGTCGACTGGCATCTAGGTTTCCGGTGCATGTCTTCATGACCCTTTGCTGACCAAGTCCCCCTACTGGCGACTTTGCTTCCCAGTTGATCAAGCACTGCTTGACTTAATGACTCCTGCGAGTAAGTCTGCTCTGCAGGCAATGCGTGAAAAGCAACAAGCAAACCAAGCGCTGTTCTCCGGCAGATTGGCGCAAGTGCTCAAGTTTCCTAGGTTGGTGATGAATAAAGCGTTGTGATCCACAAGTGTGCTTTGATTTCAAACATGCAGCGGGTGGAAACGAAATGTCATTCTTGTCTTTCTCATACCTCCTCCAAGAATATGCAAAAGCGAGCATGAATATCAATCTTGCACCTGCCATTAGTGTTCAGAGAAAATCGCATTGGCATCCGGACCAAAGGTGCCTGGAACATGCACCCTCCCCAGTCATTTACGCAATCTTAGTGCTTGACGGTTGGGGGCTCCTAAATGGCCCTGCGGGAATGGACGGCAAGCCACAACGAGGTATCAGGCGGCATGCAGCAACATGTGTAATCCTTTTGCAGCGCAACATCGCCGAGCACCCGGTATCATGCTTGAGGGGAAGGCAGATTGAGGCTCATTTTCCAAAACATGCCTGGATATGCCTGGTATCAAGACGCGTTCGCAGCAGATTGAACATCGGGGTTACCTTCTGTTGTGTTGTATTTCTGGCAGTTGAAGATGGTCTTGGGCCTCCTTGTATGAGGTCCTTCCGGCATCAAGGGTGGCAGTGGCCACTCTTATTTTGAATTTCAAAGGTGACGTCATTAGGCTTTAAAAGACGTGTTCAAGCAGAGCACTACGATGCTCTACAGAGCAAGCAAATCTACAACCAGCTGGAACTGAGCGCCGGGCCATGGGTCACGGGACATCTCACAACCCATAATAGCTGGAGAGTAGCCCAGTCCCTTTAGCTTGAGCCCGTCGTCGTGACACATTCCGCAATCAAACTCCGTGCCTTATGAAGGAAGCTAAGCACAATGATAGCAAGACACGGAGGCTGCCCGCCTTGCGACGTCCAATCAGCCCAGCATCCTAAGATCTGCACAGCTTAGGCTTACACGTCCCATTAGCCTATCCACAGCCACGCCTTCAAAGCATGTCGCTGACGGCCTATACAAACTCCCACGTCTGCCGTGAAATAGAGAACCTGCTGGCCAACAAAGCTGCTGCAGCCCCGTGCTTGAAGCAGTACAGTAGCATAATGTGCGCGGGGGCACTCTCATCCACAGAGGGACGTCTTGCATGTGCAAGAGCAGCCTCTTGTAACGGAGCCAACCCGGCTGCTATCAGCATATGCTGACTTGCAAGCTGAAATTACTTGAAGGTCGCGCGATCTGAGGCAAAGGCAGGCCTCCCGCCAATGCAACAATATTTGACGCGGGCATTGAGACCTAAGCTTGATCGGGATACAAAGCAGGCGCATGTGATAAAAAGAGGCGAACCAGCGATTGATGCGTGCCTGGTACAACACTTCAACCAGCCTGCGGCCTGCTAGAAATGGCAGCGGCTGTGGATGCCGAACATCGGATGGCCAGGCAAGCTTAATGGCAAATGAGTGTCCGCGTTGCCTGGGTACAGCACTCGGAGGTTGTAGAACATTGACCCTAACTCCTCTCAGACAACTTCTATTGTATTTGCAGAACGCTGCTTCGCGAATGGGAGCCCAATCAGTCCAGAACAAACGTGCCGGCAATGAAGAGCCCGAAGCCCTGACCAGGCAATGGTTCATAAATTTCACGGAATGCTTCCTAGAGGGCGTTCCCTTCAGCTATTCTTCCAACAATGCTCTACCTTGCTGAAATGTCCAAATCCTTAGTGGTCATTGGGCGGAGAGCTGATTGGGATTTTATTGCAGTTGATTCTGTTTTTGTTTGGTTGTCTTTGTTGCTGATCGCCTAAATGCAAGATTCGCAGCAACTCAAAACAGGGGATGTGGATTGAGAGGAGGGGCGGCAAGCTCCAACCATCCCCAACCCCTCCATGCAGAGCAGTCTCATGAAGACGAACTGGGCCAGCATAGATCAACATGAAATAGCACACACGTTGGCTGCCGGTGCACGGTCGAGCAGTGCAGCCGGCATGAGTTCGAGGGTCCGATCAGAGCTGGTATTCAGCTACAAATAGGTCGGGCAAGATCCGCCATCACTCGAATCTTACGAGCCCTAGAAAAAGCCGCCAGTTTCTGGCGCGCGGCATTCAGCACATTTTGTGGGCAACCCAGAATCACACCCCCCATGGGCATGGAAATCCCAAACCCACTGACATCAACATCCTCACACAAAACGTCTTGAAGCCCAGCGGCGCTGAGTGCCGTCGAAATGACCTTACGCACCATGCGAAGCTGTACAGCCACATGGGTTCTGTATGGCCGGAAGGGAACGTCCTCAGCTGATCGCCATCCTCCAGTTTCTAAAAGAAACAGGAATTCAATCCATGAAACTGTACAGGCTTGCAATGAACTGCTGTCAAAGCGTATGAAAGCTGCTAGAAGATCTCTCACGAAATCCGCTGGAAGATGTGGGCATGCTGTAACAGTCAACGCACACCAGTTCACTGGCACACGCTCTGCCGTGATATCTGGCCTATCAATCCAGAGAATCTGACTGCTTGGAGCTTCAAAGTCCTCAGCCTCTGGTTGGACTGTTGGGTGGCGCTGTCGCAAAGTTACACCTGCAATGTCAAAATACAGACGTCGCCAGAATCGCAGTTGTTGAGCGGTGTTTTGAAACCACGCCAATGCTCTGGCATGGGATTCCTTGCAGAGCACACCGCGATTAACATTCGCCATCATGGCAGCCCGATCCGCTGCATCATTCCATTTTTTGATCCAATCTTCCAGAGGTGACGTTAACCGTTCAGCATCCAGATGAGAATGGACGTGTTGCACCGAAACGGCTCCAGGTTGGATGCAGTCCAACATCGTTTGAATTTGCAGCCATAGATCATGATTGGCACAATCATCAACAAGTATGCCACCTGCCAAGAGAAGCTGTAGCTTTTGTACGACGTGGAGCGCATCAGACCAGCTTGTGATTGGAAAGCCAGACCGAGCAGCCCACTTGATTGCACATAGCACCGCGAGTGCACGCGGAGCCGTCTGAAGCAACCCATGTACTGGTGCACCACCGATGACTTCACCCGTATTGGCACAACCACCGCCCACGCCGCCAACGCGAGGCTGGCAAAGCCCCATTGGAGGCAACTGCCATCAGTAAACAAATGATGACGACCATCCCCATTAGGAGATCTGAGGAAATGTCCAGTACAGTCTGGCAACTGATGCAGAGAGGCACGCAGCTCCCCAAGGTGAGGATTGGCAGGCGGAAGCAAATGATTGCGAATGCAACTTGTTGTTGCCTCCCACGCCGCCGAAACGTCTACCCCATCAGGGCGGAGAGCGGCATACTTTGGACAGTCACAAATTCGATGTTGCCGGGTATCTGGGAGACCACATTCCACACAAAGTCCACTCAGGCCTCGGTCATGTGCTCGCTGCCAAAAAGGTAAGCCCCTGACTGTAGCGCTCGTAAACGTGCAAGGTCCAGAGAATTCATCTGATTGGTGTCCAGCTGTAGCAAGTCAGGCTCGAGACCTACCAAATCAACCATGTGGTGTCGGTGGTGAACTCGGGTGCTTACGTGTTGGAGCCAGGCATGCTCTAATCGCTCACGCAGAAGTGCCTTCGGCATGGTCAGCAGGTTGTAGCAAAGTCCCTGATGGTCAACCACGGCTGGTGGGTTTGCAATGTGCCACCCTACTTGGGACAGGACAACAAGGAGCTTGCTGAAGGGCCCATGGTAAATGCGCCCATCAAATTGGCGCATAAACTGCCGCCAGTGCATGACAACATCAGCGTGCTTCCTCATCATTCTTCGGGCATCCCGAACACAACACCAAAGTTGGTAAAACCCTGGATCGGCATCTGGGTGGCCGGACACACTGAGGCGTAGAATGGGGCTTAATCCCGCAGTTCCTAATTGGAGCGCTTGTATGGCTTTGCTGCGCAGAGCTGTCAAATGGGTTTCTGCCAGAGGGCACGCCGAAACACCGCGCAAGGCTTTCGCCCAGAACTTCGCTGAGAGACATTGGAGCTTGAATGGCTATCAACATGAAATAACAGAAAAAGTAATGTGTACATGTACAAATGCTGTGATACTCATACACGCATATTTAGCTAGCGTGGCTGTGATACGAGCAAAAAGAAGCCCAGCACTCATGACGACAATAACAACAGGAATGGTATGACTCGTTAATAAACTAGAAATTTCTCGCAGTAATAACAATAACATCATGACGGCAATCCTTATAATGGCGGTAGTCAAACCATTAGTGTCTGTAGAGCAACGATAGTACGAATAGCGACAACAGCTTGCATGAGGTCATAATGCTGGTTTGACAAAGCGTGGCCCACTCCTTTTTTTGACCCAGCAGGCTCAGTCACTGTACTGCATGTGGACAGAGCTGGAATTTTGCGGCGGTATCCTAAAGGGTATGGCAACTACGCTGAAGTGTTGGTGATTGAACCACGAGCAGTTACCTGAGGTGTAGCGGCAAAACGATGTCCGTGTGCACATAGTGGCATGGCCGCGCCCTTTCACACTACTAATCTTAAGCTCATATTGCAGGTCTCTTTACCCCCCCCTGCATGGAGAGACAAAGCAGTCAGCAGTCTGGAATTAGCCACTAGCCACCTCTTCGGCTGGTTATACGCCGAAGGAAACCGGGTATCAGAAGTCGATCGAAGACATTCTCCAGAACCGGCATCGCCGCGTCAGCAAGCAATCCGAAACAGTAGACAAGTCCGTAAGAGAGTCGCCAACCCCACGACCATCTTGTTATGCTTCGTGCGGTGAACGTAGCTCATGAGTTACATGAGTTGAAGAAACCCCGCATTTTCCTTCTATGACCATGTCGTGATCCTCCTTGCAAAAAAACGATCAAAATTGTTGACTGCACGCAACGCATCAAAGCAGCAAAGGAAAGCATCAGGGAGAAATTTCATGAAACTGCTCGCCTCACCTCTTCCTTGAGCACCGTTCGAACAGACGGAAACAGAACAAGCTGACCATACTTATTAGCTGGCTTGGTATGACCGCACCAAGTGCATCCATTACAGTTCGAGCCCGGTGGCCACTGTGCTCGCTGATCTTCGCAACTTGTTGGCTTGGACACCAGCAATGTCGGCATATTCGTTGACGGTCATCTCCAGGTATGTCTCCATGTCGTAGGTGACTGAAAGAAATTAGGTGTTGTCATGAAGGTCAGCTTCACTTCAAGTGATGTTGCGCCGAAATCAGAGACTTAACGGGTCTCAGGCCCCAGGCGCTATTTTTTTTGGAACTAGGGGTCGTTCACATACACCGCCGTTACGCCGCATGAGTAGACATGCATTCATCTCGGACGGGTTTGCAAGTGACTTTCTGTACGGCGATGTGACAACGCTGCTCCTATCTGGTACTCGCGTCCGGCTGACCCGACACAGCCCTGACGCAACGGTTTTCTGAACTTACTGCTTCATCAAAAACGCAGAATTTGAAGAGTTAGCGCGAAAGAGTCTAACCGTAAAAGCGGAGAATCTCAAGGTAAGGGCGAAAGAGTCTAACCGTAAAAACGGAGAATCTGAACCAGTCTCGCCGTAAAAGCGGAGAATTTGAAGGGTTGGGGCGAAAGAGTCTAACCATGAAAGCAGCTAACCTCAAGGGTGACCATTTGAGGCCTCCAAAACCAGCCTCAAGTCACGCTTTGAATAAGTTCCCAAGTGACAGCCTCTGGTTTGAACCTTCCAAAACCAGCCCCATGTCCACCTTTGCATAAGTTCTCAAGTGACCGCATGTTGTTTTTGGTCTAGCCTAGGGCGAAAGAATCTAACAGCAAAAGCGGAAAATTTGAAGGGTTAGGGCAAAAGAGTCTAACCGTAAAATCTGAGGGGGTAAGTCGAAAGGGTCTAGCCGTAAAAACGACATAGGTGCATCGCCAACTAGGATGCCTGGACTACTCGAAGCCCAAAGTCTTTGTGGGTATGGTGAGGGGACTATGGAATTCCTGTTAGGGACTATACAGGTGACGGTTTAAACACTTTGAACATTCCCCGGGGCCGGGATCCAGGCGGCCCAGCCCCTGGGAATATTTGCGTTATTCAATTTATATAATGTATCTCACTGATTTCATCTCCGGCTCCAGCCTCGTGAAAACCAAAACCCCGTATTAAGGTTTTAAGGGGAACTAGTACTGAAACCTTATTTAAAAATTCATTATAAACAGCTTCCAAATAGATCCATTTTTGCTCGCACTCCCCCACCCCCCCAGGAGCATCATCAGCACAATTGGATCCCCATTTTGGCTTCGTTGGGACCAGGAGTCAAAAACCCAAGAGAAGTTTAAAAAA